AGGATTATTATTTTAGGCACGAATTACAATTGTGTCGGAAATAACTATACTCGTCTATTTTTAGAAGTTTGTTAAGAAGTGTTTTGGACACTTAGATACAACCTAACTCTATAGGTACAACCTACATCTGTGTTGTGGATTTTTGTTGATAATTTCAAAGTGAGGTAGCACATTGTCATAAATATCTCATTGGCAACTCTCCAAGGTTATATCCGTTTGTAACGGAATTGTCTCAATGAATTGTTTGCTGGTTTATATATTTATAAAATTCTTTCCCCTATTGATTTGAAGCTTTGAAATCCACATTTTTTGACGAAGACTAGGTATGTCCTTACATTTTGTATCAAATAATGTATGTAAACAAATGAAATTGTTGTTAAACAAAGTTACTAAGCATATTTTTGACATTCAATAATTGAAAATTATCAACACTTTACTTATAATGGTGATGGATAAGACAAAGAACTACAAAATGCAGCATTGAACAATGGATTTTTTACATTTTTGTTATACGTAAACAACACAGAATTAAATAGACGTTGATGTGACTTCAAGCTTGAATTTTCAGATCAGCTGAAATTAGAGTCTACATATAGTTTTTCCACCCACATGGTATTGTTGAATATGGTTATATGGATTGGTAGATGAAGAAGGAAAAAAACTACTTTTTTATAGTGGTAAAAGTTGTTCAAGATAAAGTATGTGGAAACTTTAGCAATTAGCAGTTATGTGCACTACTTCATCCCTCCATAACTGATGTGCTTGAAAGTAGGATTCTATTATAAACTTGCCCTAACCATAGAGTAAATAATATTTACTCTATGCCCTAACAGTAACAAATATATTTTTTATAATTTCAATGTCTGCTTATGAACTTTATATGATTTAACTTCAATGCTGAATCACGTGTATGGAAAATGCCGTCAACATTTATTATTTGAATATGAGAATTACTGTCGCATATGACGATATCAAACTGTAGTTGATCTCGAATGTCAACTTTATGCTTACATATCCCGAACGAGGGACGAGTCGCCCGTCTGAGGGGTGGGACCTTATACTAGCAAGAAAACTCCGGTTTTGAATCTACATAAAGTTACAAGGACATTAGTGTACAGGGTCATTCTTGACGAGCGTCAGTTAGAAAGATATGGAAAACCTTTGAAAATGAAGATAAACTGATAAGTTCTTTAAGGGTTTTGGCACATGATGAATTGAACTAAAATATTTTAAAAATGGCGCCACTTTCGGAAATACCGTAAGTAGCCATCAACTTTGTTATTTTAAATAGGGACCCCCTATTTTTTCTACATTTTTGGATTCTACGTCTAATTTGGAGTACAACGATACTCCATAGTTGACCCTTTGCTCCAAGGGCTTCGCCGATATTCAGGTTTTTGTGTCAAAAATTGAATTTGCAGGGGTAATTTTAAAAATTTATTATTCGAAAACGGTGAGAGATATTGCAAAACAGTTTTCAATGCTTTATTAAGGAAAGATCGAATTTTCTTATGGTATGCGTAAACAGTCTAAAAAAGTGAAACTACGTCACTTTTTCAAAGCTCTCAACTTTTAAACTTTTAAATATCCGTAACTCCATTTTTTCAAATGGCACCCCCCATTTTGTTCTTCACCCTTGTTTTCTTTTTTCCCAGACCTTTAATTTGATGCAAAATGTCAAAAGCTGCTTCAAACGGTTTCCGAGATATTCCATGTTTTAGTTGCTTCTTGTGGAAAATTCATAAAAAAATTAAGTCGCTTGATGTTATTCTTTTGTTTTTATTATGATAATGTTTAAACGTCAAATTTTTCGCTGTTTGAACTTATACTTCTGGTCAATAATGGCTCGTTTGGGTTACACTAATGAAGATTTTGTGAATTTAATATTAATAGATGGTGATTGTAATCGAATAGCTGCCAGGAGTTGTCTTTTTTCCGAAAGATACCCTGACAAGGCGCAACCCACATAGGCTACAATTCGCAAATTACTACAACATTTCAGGAATAACTGTACCGTTGTACTCCAAATTCGACGTAGAATCCGAAAAATTAAAAAAATAGGAGGTCCCTATTTAGAATAACAAAGTTGATGGCTACTTCCGGTATTTGCGGAAGTGGCGCCATTCTTTGTGCACTCGTGTCTGATATGTCAATTTCTCTTTGGATATCATTAAGCGATGCAGTTGGATTTGCAGCAAAATACACCAGTACAGTTATTTCCTGTTCTTCAGAGTCTACCACAGGCTTCCTTTTTTTGTATTTTTGTTTGAAAGATACCGTTATTCGTGAAATGTTGTAGTAATTTGCGAATTGCGAATAAAAACAAAAGAATAACATCAAGCGACTTAATTTTTTTATCAATTTTCCACAAGAAGCAACTAAAACATGGAATATCTCGGATACCGTTTGAAGCAGCTTTTGACATTTTGCATCAAATTAAAGGTCTGGGAAAAAGGAAAACAAGGGTGAAGAACAAAATGGGGGGTGCCATTTGAAAAAATGGAGTTATGGATATTTAAAAGTTTAAAAGTTGAGAGCTTTGAAAAAGTGACGTAGTCTCACTTTTTTAGACTGTTACGCATACCATAAGAAAATTCGATCTTTCTTTAATAAATCACTGAAAACTGTGTTGCAATATCTCTCACGGTTTTCGAATAATAAATTTTTAAAATTACCCCTGCAAATACAATTTTTCACATAAAAACTTGAATATCGGCGAAGCCCTTGGAGCAAAGGGTCAACTATGGGGTATCGTTGTACTCCAAATTCGACGTAGAATCCGAAAATGTAGAAAAAATAGGGGGTCCCTATTTAAAATAACAAAGTTGATGGCTACTTCCGGTATTTCCGGAAGTGGCGCAATTTTGAAAATATTTTAGTTCAATTCATCATGTGCCAAAACCCTTAAAGGACTTATCAGTTTAGCTTAATTTTCAAAGGTTTTCCATATCTTTCTAATTGACGCTCGTCAAGAATGACCCTGTATATTGTTTATCAAGGACAAGAAGTGAGTTTTCGCTGACAAGTCGGAGATTTTAGGTCCAAGACGCCGAGTACGGAAATTCCGACGAGTCAGCGGGTCTCATTCGTCCGTGGTATACACCTAATTTTTTTAAAATTAGTATGCTGGAATTTCTTGTATATAAACGGCTAGTCAACACAGGCATAGAAATCAAACGAGGCAGAGAAGTGGAAAGGAGGCAGAGAAGTATTCTGCTTCTCTGCCCCTAGCAACGAAACGATACTTCGTTGTTTGAATATGATCAGCGAAATGTCACATTTGACGTAGGTAAGTATAAAAAAAAAGAAATTTGTTCTATTCCCTCCAAATGTATTCTGAATTCCTTTACTTCTAAGGACCGTTAAATTGGGTCCCTAAATGCGGAACTTCGTCTCCATATAATAGCTTCGTATGTCTTAAAATCCGTGATCCTAGTGGTACACAAAGGATTTCGGGATTTGAAAGCTCGTCGTACGATTTCAATGTTCCTTTCTCATCTCCAAGCTAATCCAAGAAATTTCTTACGATTCAGAGGATTGTAAGAGATTTCCGAGAATCTCAAGAAATTTCTTTCGTAAAGAAAATCTTTGGTGTACGAAATTTCAATACTGGTTTAGGTACTACTTTGGAGAACAGCATTATACCTGTGTAAGTGTATAATCAATGTAAATACTTTTGTCATAAATGATAACAGTGATAATTCATGTGCGCACACCATCTTACACTCAAACTTCATTACCAGAAAGTACAGGTTTCTTCTAGTACGTAGGTAGGTTAGGTAGTTCTCTTTTAGAATTTACAGTTCCCTTATGTTTATAGTTTACGTTTACTATATACAGTTTTCTTTTGGAAATGACAGATTCCTGTTAGTAGCTGCAGTTCTTTTGAGTAAATTACAGTTGCCTTATAAAATATAGTTTCCTTTCAAAAATTACAGTTTCTCATTAAAAATATCGTTCTCTATTGGAACATACAATTTTCTTTCCGAAACTTCAGTTTCCTGATATTAAATGTTTCCCCACATTTTTACAACCTAAGTAAAGATATTGCCACTGATCAATGGGTGATATAATGATTGTATTTATCAGTTTCTAACTTAGTCCAGTATGCAGAGCTGTCAGAAGGGCCGATTCCTGCAAAAGGTGGTGTAAACGATTTTATTGTTTTAAATGGTCCATTAGGGTCCAAATAACATGTATTTGAAGAGTGCACACAAATTTTTTCCCGGCACAACTTTTGGCAGCCAAAAAACCTCAAAATTAATGTTCGGACTATTTCAGTTTTTCGCTTAAAACTAGAAAACGGCCCATATTTCATGAATAACACTTCTTTAGTAAATTAAAGAAAACAAATATCTGCGGCGATAAGAAAAACAAACAAAATCGGCCCAATAGAAAAATGTTTACAAGCAATTAAAAAACGCCCCTTTTTTCCAACTTTTCTAAAAAAACTGAGTTAACAAAATAACAGACGCTCTGCGCCACTTTCAAATCTCTGTAACAGTCACCTCGAACTAGGTAGTGCAAACAGGACTTCTACGCTATGGGAAGGGAATTGAACAAAACGAAGAGTTTTGTGTATAAGACAGGAAAAAATCAAACCAGCATTGGACAAAAAAAACCTGGTATAAACATAGACAAAAAGTACAGGTGAAAATGCAAGCAGCACATGTTAAAGTCGATCATCTCACAAACAGACCCACATACCTAACAGAAGAAAAGTTAATTAGAGCTCCCTTCTCTCTCATATTGCTTACGCATGGTCCGCCAGCGGGCACAAGATGCAGTGATGAATTGGAAAAAAACCTGCCTTAGGAAAAAACTAGCAAAAGCCGTCTAAGTTTTTTCTATTATTTTATAAAAATAGACCATACAACCAGTAGATACTAGGGATTGATTTTCTTAATTCTCTATTACTCTTCATAAAAAAATAATGTACATATTGATTGAAATATGAACAACACAATCACAAATATCCAAGTACACTTATAAAATATGATTGTTTAAAAAAAATCACTGGTGATTTGTTGAAAGCACAGCCTCCAATGATGACGGTAGTTTTAACTCAGACGATATAAGACTCTACGCTGACATCGATGTTGAAGTTGCCCTCTACCAATCATAACATGAATCACTTTTCTAATTGCCATTTCCGGATATTGTTGTTGAATAAAACTTTGTATTACTGCCTCTTGGGTTACCTGTGTACCGATGGCAAATCTCTTTTTTAATTGTTTCTCAATGCGCACTAGCATCTCATGTTCGTGCTCACTTGTAAATCCTTCCGCTCCTAAAACAACCTTTTTAGATGACGTCTTTAGTTAATCGCACCAAGTATACCTATAAGACTTCCACTCATAGCCGCGTCTAAAGTGGATACCTGAAACAAGCGTAGTGCCTCATCTACGTGAGATTTAGTTGCGAAAGGCAATAACTGCATTTTAGCCAAACTCTCCGACATACGAATGATGGCTTCCAACTGTCGGACCGTAATTGGGATAACGTTTTTTTTTTCAATTTCACGTTCGTGCTGACTAGCGCCCGAACGCATCTTAACGTAACTTCTTTGTAATTGGGCCGCTGCGTCTTCGCTTAGGCGCGGGCCACAACGGCTACAAATAGAGCAATTTATCACAGACTTTTTCGCAGACCATTTTGTACCTGCGGCAAAACTTAATATACTTCTTGATCAATTCTAACGATAATTCCTCTCCTCGCGGTTCTTGGTCAAATTGGTCGGCATTTAGGTGAACGTTCATAATATGTTTGGCGAGTATCTGTGGATAACGTAACGTTAAGCTGCTTGTAGTGGTTTATAGTACAACTTACCATGTCTCTTTCTCGGTTGTGCTCATCCTTGACAATGAAGATCATGTCAAAACGGGATAAAATAGTAGGCATAAAATCAATATTTTCTTCACCCTAAAAATTATACAAATGTAGTTAAACACATACTCATACTGTCAGATACAATGGAGGCTAGGACAATGTTGATGTATCTGAATTATTTAATTATTGATGTTTTTGTTTAAATAATTGTTTTGTATATTCTGTTTCGTGATTGTGAATTGGAATTGACTAGATTTATTCAGTTAGGAATTATTTGCGTAGTATTTGTATAAGTTTACCCCATGTTTTTCTCCGGTTATTGCGATAAGAACTGTTATCGCTGCGTACGCTAATTAATGTTCAAGGTAATGACGTGATTTCGCCGGTTGGAAAACACAGGTGCAGTTTGATTTTTCGAAGGCGCGCATTATTTTGTTAAGGAAGGGGAACGGAAGTGAGGAAAGGGGAATTTTTCAGGACCTTGTGCAATCAAGGTCAAGTTTGTTGACATCAGGACCAACTTCAAAATTCCAAACACTAAAGATTGAAGACTCATTCGAGGGAAAATAGAGGAAAATGACAGTGGAAACTCCAAGACAGATCCAAATTGAAGATGTCGAGGAACTTGAAGGACCGTGCAGTAAGTGGAACCTGAGAGTGCTACACGATGATAGCTTATGAAGCTGAACCTTTTACAGACGCCGAAGCCATTGAAACTTCTCAAGGCAAAAATTGAAAAGTGACAATTAGTGAGGAGGTAAATGCGCTCAATGAAAATCACATTTGGGACCTAGTTCCTAGGCCGGTTGATAAGTAGGTAAGTGACTGTCGGTGGGCGTCGAAGGTCAAGTACAACGTGAAGGGATTGATTTCACTGAAACTTCAGCTCTACCATGAGATGGAACCCTGTGCGTTCTCTGGTGAGTGTGTGTGTGCAAGTGAAAGACTCAAAATGATTCCATTTTACGTCAAAAGTGGTTGCCTTTATGGAGAGGTCGATGTTGAACTCTTCATGAGCCAACCAGAAGGTAACGATGATGGAACTGACAGGGTTCAAACTCCTACATGATAATAATAATAATAGTAGTAATATATAATTCGTGTTGTTATACAGTACACATTGTACTTACACATGTCAAGGTTGTATTGGAGTGAAGTTAAAAACAGGTTACAATTCAAATTAAAGTTTACAGTTTAAAAACTCATCGTAAGAATAAAAGGAGTGAGATATCAACAGTTGCTTGATGACTAGTTTAAATTGGTGTAGTGGTAAAAACCATATTTTTGGGGGCAGTTTATTGTAAAATTTGTGAGACTTAATATTTTGTGATAACTTTAACCAAAAATGATCTGTTATAAGGTTATTGTTGTCTCTTGTTTCATAATGGTGTAGATCTTTATGTTTTGTGTACTGAGCCTTCGACCATTTAAACCTGGACTGCTAGCGTCGTATAATATTTAATATAAAAATTGAAGCCAACATCTGCAGCGCCATCACTGGGTGACTAAAATGAGAACTAATAAATCTGAGGCGCTAAATATGAAATTTGAAAAGGACAAGTATATCCCATTGAACTATATACTCTGTAACTGGAACGGCATCGAGCGCCAAAATCGCGTGCCGCAATGATTTTAGGCAACCAGCATAACGTAGGTATTCTCATCCTCGTCTGGCACGTTGTTTTGTATTGCATATGTAGGACCGATCACACGTATTTGGTTAAAAATTCAGATAAGTAAATCATGGTGGCTCGACGCATTCCATTTGCTTATTAACGTAAAATAAAGTTATAAACATTGGTTGTGTTCGTTTGTAACGTACCCAATTACATAATATATTAGCAAGGAGGTACCTAATATATTACAATTGGAGTCGAAATAAAGGTAAATTTAAAAAAGCACTTTTTTTAGAATAAAATGAGTTTAAGAATCATGGTTACTCTAAGAGCAAAAATTCAATTTACTCGTAGTGGTCACCGCATTGCCATTAGAAGGAAACGAATTGACACTATGCTGGTCTTATGGAACGTTTGTTTCTCGTACACGACTGGAATTTGTCCAACAGCCCGATGGATCCTTTGTTTTCGGAACTACCTTGACACATCCAACGTAACTACCAAATACACCAGTTGTAAGTGTTGGTTGTGCCATCGGCAGTATCGAAGAATTCAGGACAAATACCCATTGGAACATCCACAGTGAGCGGCTTGAGTAATGCATAAGTGCAAATTTCGTTGTTGAGCAGCGAAAGGTTTCTGGTGCATCTAACTACGGTAATTGGACCAGAGCATTGAATAAGGACCAGAGGGTTTATAAGGCATTGCGCTACTTATATAACCCAGTTTTGTCCCAAGATGAAACGTACGCTGTTATGTGAGGTCAGAATTACACCTGCTACAAAAGGTCTCCCATATTTTTCGGAACTTGTCCCAGAAAAACTCAAGACCTGCAAATCCTTTGGAATATTTCGTAGGGAAATAAAAAAAGTTTGTAACTATGTGGATGGATATGGATGAAGAAAATGCAAACCGTGATATTTTCTACTCTACCTTTTGTGGTACCTATACCTGTTTGATATGTGTATGCTTTTATATTTTATCTTTACACTTTGACGCCTCCTAATGTACGTTCATTGTGGCCAAAGGAATCGGTAATAAATAAAAAAATCAATCCTTAAAGGTATTTTTCGCCCCATTAGTGAGCAGTCTCAATAATAACGTTGAGTGAAAAATTAAATAATAAGGAACTTCATATTCAAATTAGTAAGTCAAAACGGCTTTATAGGTTTTGGCGGCGTTAACGCTTTTCTTCATATGATGCTCTCTAGCGAGTGGAATGCTCTATTGAATTAGTATTAAAGAGTGCGAAAGAAGAATTATCATTCATAAGGACAGTATAAATGAGTGTGTACATTAGTAAAGAAATCTGAGCGGTGCAAATGCCGTCATGCGCAAAAATATTAAATGCGCCCGTCGAGGTTGAAAAATGTTATCAAAACGTACCCATGAAATTGAATATTTGAATTTTTGTTATGAAAATGATTGCACGTATATGCAACACAATTGATGACCATTTTTGCCAATCTCTTAATAACTTATTTTAGACAAAAATAAGCAAAATGTAAGACGTAGTATAAACCAACCCATAAGCGCACGTGAGAGAAACAAGGTAAGGGATACCTACCTCTACCCATCTCTCTCTCACAAAAATTCGCCACGGCCCCTGGCAATGGCTGATTTATGGGCGATGGCGTTCCAGTTACAGAGTATATAGTTCAATGGTATATCCACACAAAATATTTATAAGATAACTGTTTAACTTTATACCTGATGAATTAATTTATATAATAAATAAATTTGAAGTAGATATAATTTTTGGATAATAATACCAATAGATCGTGGAATAAGCTTTTATTTAACAAATGTACATGCTTATTGCAGCGTCTAACCAATCTCCAGGATAACGGGTAGTACATGACGGTGAGGGTGTTACACAACGATTAAGGTCCATATTTTGATGATCAGGAAAAGTGTTTAGGTACATTTTGATCTACTGTCATATCTTCAACTTGTTCTCTTGGTCGGAGAGACTATCGACATTTTCATTTGATGGATTCGGAAAAATTGAAGGAACTGAATTAGCCTTTTACTTATGCGAAAAACGTTTCTGTTTTAATGTCCTTGTTTTTAAGGTTATAAACTGCATCACATTCATCACATTTTTTTACCAAACAACTTCAGAGTCTCATTTTTAATTAATTATATAAAAGTAACACAACTAACTAACCCAAAACTACATACAATCGCTATAAAACGCCCAAATTAAATCTCGTAAGATTGACGTGTGTCAAATTTCGTTTCACAAATCGCACAACTGCTCTGTGATGGCGCTGTAGATGTTGGCTTCACTGTGCTAGCAATCCAGTTATTTTTTCATCCAAGTACTGAGCTATGTTTTTTTTATGGAATGGAATGGAATGATAGAATAAGACGTTCACTGATTTTTAGCGCATATTTTAGTTTGTGTTTTGTTCGTCCGTCTGTCCGGACCCACTTCTGCTGTTTTAAACTACACTTAGGGAAATTTTACTAGCGTCCTAGAATTTTTTACCATTAAATTTCGCTGTCTTAAGAGTGTAGAAATTAATTTTATTTTTCATGGTATTCTAATCAAAGGTCTCACCAAAAGGGACTGTTTTCTAACCTCTTAGAAAAAAGAATGTGGGTGATTAATTTTATCCTTCATGGTATTCTAATGAAAGGTCTCAACCAAAGGAATTAATTTCTACCAATAAGTCCTCCTCCTTGACCCCTTATCGTGATTGGATATAATTTCTTATATCTCAAGAATAGGTTGTCAGAGGGAGGTACTCACAAAAGGCGATTGAACCGTCTGGAACAAATATATCCATTGGTGATGTCAAAACATGCGCTATATTTGTACATACAATTTATACTTGTTTGAGTAAATGTGACCTTACTCAAAGTGAAAATAATCCCTGTTTCTTTGTGAACTCCAGGACAATGTTGATGAGGACACTTCAGTGGATGATGGCCTGGTCAGCAGGAATGACAAACATTTGCAAAAATTGATTGCTGTGCCCAATGATACTTTCCAGGTACATACAAATTGGTGATGCAAAATTTTATTTAGGATTGAAAATTCAAAAATTGGCGATGGTTCAATTTTTATTTCTCAGGAAACCTACACTCGTAAAATTCTTGAGCGGTTTAGAATGTTGAGTTGTAATCGCATATTGAAGAAGGTGCTTGCGAAGATCTTAAACGACAGGAATTGAAACCAAAGTTCCATACCGCGAAGCAATTGGGTCGCTTCTATTCCTAGTTGTAGCTTCAAGACCGGACATTTGTTTTGCAATCGGATTTCTTTCAAGAAACATGGATTTTCCTACGGTAAAGGAATGGGCAATGGTGAAACGACTCTTGAAGTACATAAAAGGAACTCAGAACTACGGAATTTTGTACAAGCATCGTGATGATGATGCTGAAGCATTTCTGTGATGTGGATTACAGCGGGGACCGCCGCCGCTTATTAAGAAAAAAATAGTTCAACTCATAAGCAGTCTCTAAAGGTTGGGTTTCGTTGTGGCGTCCTGCATTCGCGGGCCAACGAAACGTCGAACTGTCATTCATTGCTATAATTGGCTACTGAAAAATGTGAAAATGATTTCATTGGCGTGGATAGTCTGGAAAGGCAGCGGCCGCCGTCGACGGCCACGTCTCCACTGCTCAAAAGCACGTCAGGACGCGAACGTCAACAACACTATGAGCACGAACTTATAAATTAAGATGGACTGCTAATGGTAAATTGACAAATGACATCTACATGGGGGCAGCCATGATGTGCACTCACTTGGCGCGAAATTCAAATCAACTAATAATTTCTAAATAAATTACTGTGACACATGTCATTTTCCAAGGCTGCAATAGTCTCAAAACTTGAGCACTAGGAAAATTCCCCTAGAAAATAACTAAAAAGTGCACATCATGGCCGCGCCCATGCTATGGCCATTTCTACCGCTATGCAACTGTTTGATCAGCAGTCCATCTTAATTTATAAGTTCGTGACTATGAGTCTAGACGTGGCCGTGAAAGCTGGACATCGTAATGAAATTCTACCAGATGAAATGCCACAGGATCTTGGGCTTTATTATTTCCATAAATCTCTATAATTCTTTGACTCTCTATGTTGATGATGTTACCAATCAATAGCAAAAAAAGAATTAAAAAAATTTACCTTTGTTTCATCCCATCTTCCAAAGATACTGTTTGCAGCAGCCAGTACCGAGCATCGCGAATTTAAGGTAGTTGTAATGCCAGCCTTGGCAATGGAAATCGTTTGCTGTTCCATAGCCTCATGAATGGCAACTCTATCGTCTTCCCTCATTTTATCAAACTCATCAATACACACAACGCCACCATCAGCAAGAACCATTGCGCCCCCTTCCATTACAAAGTTACGCTAAAGTAACCGTTTAAAGCAACGCGGAAAACATGACGAAACATACCGAATTGGGATCTCGCATTACGGAAGCTGTTAAACCGGCGGCGGAACTTCCCTTGCCGGACGTGTAAACTCCAATCGGCGAAACGCGTTCGACAAATTTCAGTAATTGAGACTTTGCAGTGCCAGGATCGCCCAAAAGTAAGACGTTAATGTCACCACGTCGTATCAAGCCGTCGGGCAGTTTTTTTCGTGAACCTTACAAAGTAAACAACAAAGTAATGTGAAACACACACAAAACGCAATTATACATACCTCCGAATAACAAACACGTAATAGCTTTCTTTATGTCTGTCATTCCATAGATGGAAGGTGCAATACTTTTTGCTAACCGTTCATAAATGTTCGGTGATGCGGCCATCCTTCTAAACAAATCTTCTTCTTCTGCGGTAACAATATTGCAAGTTTTCCTGAGCGCGTTATTACTCGTTGCTCCTTCGCCATCTATTTGTATCCCTATAACTCGCATGTACGGAACACGGACTCCAGTGGTCTCCTTTTCGCGACCTTTCTGCAATTACGAAGACGTCAAGTACAACTTTAATGAGAGGTCTATATTACCTTTGAAAACTGTTTAACTTTTTTAATCGAATACACCCCTAGGATATGGACACGATTGCCTGGGACGACTTTGTCACATAAATAGCGATCAGCATAAAGGGTCAAATGTCGAGGAATCTCCCCTTGCGGTATCTCATCAGGTAACTCTTGTAATTTAAGTATTTGAAAATCAACACAGTTGCATTTGTCAGGTATAATAAAGTACGGATCCAATGGGCATTGCGCTCTCCCCGCTTGTTCACTACATCAGAAAGTACTCTATTTGTTGATTATCATTAATTATACACTTTGGTACAAAAAATATCAAGTATGTGGTCATTTTCCATTTAGAACTGTCAGATCTTTTGTTTTTAAATATACGTACTGAAAGGGAAGGTCGAGTTTATACTGATTTTCCGTTATTTTATTGTAAAATGTATTTCGCCTTAATGAACCTTTGGATTTAAAGAAAATCTTGTTTCAAAAAGAGGCTTTTACAAAAAAATAAATGGTATTCGTCACAATATGAATATTCCTAAAAATATACAGGGTGGTGACTTGCATAACGCATCATAGGGATTTCAATGTAAAATTCATAACATGCGATTATTGGCTCCCCAAATTATTTTAGACCAAAAATGTATTAAGGTTTTTTGTAGAAAAAATTTTTTTTACGTCATTCAACCATATTAGTTTTCAATTTTATAGACGGAAAATTGAAAAAATAAAAGACCCATCTTTTTCAATAATCTGTGATGCCATGGCATTTTATAATACAAAAACTAAGCCAATATCCGTCAAGACATGGAATGTCTGCTATAAAACAAATTAAATTTTATCAAAAAGTATTCTATTTAGAACAGCGAATTCAACATAAAGAAAGACCAAATTAGATTTAGAAAATTCCATGGCATCGCAGATTATTGAGAAAGATGCGGGTTTTATTTTTCCAATTTTCCGTCTTTCTTATGCAAAAAATTGAAAACTAATGCGGTTGATTGGCGTAAAAAAATTTTTCTACAAAAAACATTAATACATTTTTGCTCTAAAATAATTTGGGGAGCCAATAATCGCATGTTATGAATTTTACATTGAAATCCCTATGATGTGTTACGCCACCCTGTATACCTACCGTGTATCACAAGATGAACGCACCCTAGGCAAACAACAAGGTATTTTTTCGCAAAGGATCCCCTAGGCTTTTGAAACAACAATAAAAACATTTTACTGTATAAAACGCAATATTGCAAATAATATTTAATATAAATGTAATATGCGATACATCAAAATTTAGGAAATGTTACGCTCGTTTAAAAAACTCTAAAATATATTATGTATAGGGTGGTCCGTATGAAAAAATATAGTTTAGAGTCTTATAAGAAAAACAAAACACCCTGTATAAAAACTGTGTATCGCAATGCATGTTACATAAAAAAGTGCTCTGAGAAAGATTTTGCCAAAATCAATTATTTTTAATAATAAGAAAGTTATGGGGCATTAAGGAAATCGACTAAATTCGAGATGCTGCTCTTGTTCATTGCACAGCAGATCCAGTGTAAATTGTATCAGCATTTGGAAATGTTCGACTATTCATTACAAAACAAGAATAAGATTTCCCAGATACTTACGTATGGCACTTGCGCGGCATTAAATATCCTTCTAATCCAGGCTTAATAAGCAAATTTGGTACAATATTTTGACAAGAACGACACTGTATCGTAATTTTTGTAGCTTTCGCCTTAACGCCTGAAGTAGTAACTATAATTCCCGGTATTTTTACCAAATGTGATACAACGTCAGACTGCAACATTTACCTTACAATGGCCATTGAAACAAAGCAGATCTCTTACTTTAAGCGCTCTTAAATTAGACGGATTTGCATCAGACGTGAGCATTATTTGTATCTCCTCCACATTCTCTTCGCCCTCCGGTCTTGGACTTGTCAACTCGTCTGCAACCTCTTTTGCGGCCTCTTCGAAGATGGGAAGATGTTCGGTTGGTTGTTTAAGTATTTTATCGGCCAATGTTTCGTTAAAGCTACCCAAGTCTTCCAAATTCACCTCCAAATAGTAATTTTGCATGTTGTAATTGCGTTTCAATGTATCTCTGTCAAGTAATATGTATATAGAATTCTTGCTCTAATTTTATGAGTTATTGGTTACCTGTATGTGTAATTAAAATTGTCAGTATGAAATTCTCTGAGAAAGCTTTTAAATTTCTTTTTGATACCCTGTAGATTAGTTTGAACATCGTTCTGGTTATCTTCGGGGGCGAAATTATCGCTGAAGAAGATTCCAGCATTGTCAAACCCCTCCATTCTTCTTTTTACGTGCACAAAGAGCAAAAATACCAAGACAGAACAGATAATTTCAAAGACAAAGCACCGCGACCGTATTACAATTTACAAATTCTTACAACGTATAACCTCTAAAAGTTGCTTGTTGCCAGAAACCGCGGGAAGCACATAACAGCGTTGCCAAATGTCAAACAACGAAAAATTTCTTATTGCCATGTCTCTTAAAAAACCCACTACACACAGAATGTAAATTAAAAGTAGCCCGTTGAGGGGTCCGTGAAGTGAGCTGGCCATGAAAAGCACAAACAACGGATTTAAGTTTAATCGTTTGTGCTTCGTTTGTGCTCGTTTGTGCCGTATAACAAAAGTCAGCAAAACCAACCATACAAAAATTATGGGCAATTCAAAATGGTCAGCTGACTTCACGCACGAAATTAAAGCACAAACGAGGGGTTTAATTGCAATCGTTTGTGCTTCGTTTGTGCTCGTTTGTGCCGTATAACAAAAGTCAGCAAAACCAACTATACAAAAATTATGGGCAATTCAAAATGGTCAGCTGACTTCACGGACGAAAATCAAAGCGCAAACGGGGGCTTCAGGTTCAATTGTTTGAGTTTAGTTTTTGCCGGTATGTCCGATATAATAAGTCTTTAAGAGAACCAGTAATACCTACACAATTATAGATATAATGCATGCACAAAATTGCAGAACACCTAACATAAGATGCACGAATTCAAACAGCTGTAGATTTAACCATAGTGTAAAGACTTACTTATTTAACGTATCTAAGTAATTGTACATAATGTAACTGTATGTAAAGTTTCATTCCCTATGTTATGTATCGAGTTCGGACTTTCGCTAGATTATTCCCTATGCCTCTTAGAAGTGTAATAATTCACTATAAGCTTTAGAACAAAATGTACCCAAAATTATTCTTTACACATGAATTTGGAGTTGTAAAAGCTTTCAAAGGCATTATCTTGATGCTGAAAGAGTACCTACATCACGTGCACATTTGATAACCGCATGTATGTGTGATTCAAAGATGTTAAATTATTTTTCTGATGCCACATGGATTTTGATCAAAACATGTCAAAATCGTTATTCTTGCACTGAGATCGATGGGAAAAAGTTCAACAGCATGATGCATCGTCTCAATGACCAACACATGAATTTGATGCATGTTTGGCGACCACATGGACTTTGATCAAAACATGTGAAAATGGTTATTCTTATTCATGTACCAAGATCATTGGAAACAAAATTAATAGCATTATCTCAATGCCCAACACATGAATTTGATGCAAAAATTCTACCTCGTTTTATTATACGTAATATAATATGATAACATTTATTTAATAATGAAGATTTTAAAATCAATTAACGTGTACATCTTGTAGGTATGTATATCTACTACACTAAAAAAAATAACCTGAGAGTCGGAAACTATACTCTATTCGTATTAATTTTTTTTCAAATGTCTGTAATAGTGCTTCCGCCTTCTAGTTTTGTATAATTTAATAGCCCTTGAACAAATTTAAAAATAAAAAAGTAATTGAAAACTTCAACAATGCATTCTAATTAATAATCGCTGTTTAATATACAATAAGGCGGACATTTAAAAACTTTTCAAATAAAAAATACTGTTTCTTTAAATATCAAAGTGACCCACCAGGCCACCACCCCCTTAAGCACAACCCATACTGACCTAAGAATCTGACAAAACAATACCCAATTTCTGATCGTCTTTGGAAAGGTTATTACACATCTTGGAAAACGTACAATATGCCTGGGTATTATTTTTTTTTAACTAAGAAAGATATCAAATGAACTGATAAATGTGGTTGTTGTAAAGGCTACGGAGAATCCTAACGTTTTTTTTAAATAATTTTAATTGTTTGTTCCACACTTTAAGCTATTTTGAAAAATAAAGAAACGTGTAAACAAATATAGAAAACGAGCCCCTGGGTATGACTATAGTATGTGCAAAACCAAATTTGGAAACTGGCGCTACATTTGCTTTTATTCCAAGTGGCTATGTATCAAATTTCATTTAAATACCTCCATAAATAAGAAAGTTTGCAATTCGATTTGTAAAGCAAAGGGCACTGTGAATGCTGATCGATTAGGCTCAACTTTTGGAATTGCGTTTTATATGGCTAAAGCCATGCGCATATTGAATTTCATGCAACTCTGTTCATAACTAATGGAGACGTTATCGTGACTTTAACCTTTGATTAGTGCATTTGAACGTGATTTGAGGGCTGTGGAGTGAACGTTATCTTCAACATACCTAGCATTGACGACAAAGTAAAATTTCTTAACGGCAACATTACAGCAATATTAGATAAACATGCTCCATTCAAAACATCAAGATTTACTAAACCCTACACACCCTGGTTAACGGATAACGTCCGTCTCATGATTAAATTAAGGAATAAGGCACTTCAACGCTTTAAACGCAGCAAGTCTCCAGCCCACTGGGATTATTATAAAGCTTTACGAAATATGACTACTGCTGCTATTAAAGCTGAGAAGAAAGCATATCTAGAATTTACGTTTAGATCGAACAATGCTAAAACCGCATGGCAGACGTTAAGGAAAATGAGCATCTACGGCGTCTCTAGCGATAAAACTATCCCATCTAATTTGCAAGATGTCAACGAAATTAACAAGTACTTTGTTGAACACGTTAACAGTGTGTGTGATAATCCTGACATTATAAATTATTATAATAATAGCTGCTACGAATGAGACCCAGCTAGGTTCTCATTTTCTTTAATAGATGCGACACTAATTGAAAAGATCTTAAATAAAATGACATCCAAAGCTAGTGGTTGTGACGGTATAAATATTGATATTTTGAAATTGTGTTCCCCGCACTTATTGCCTCACATAGTGCACATAGTCAATTATTGCATTGAGTTTTCAATATTTCCTACTGTGTGGAAAGAAGGATGGGTTATACCTATTCCAAAAAAAGCACATGCTGAAAGTTATAACGATCTTCGACCCATCACCATATTACCCACCTTATCTAAAGTGCTAGAGAAAGTATTGGAAAGTCAATTACGACAATTTTTAAATTCACGTAGCATACTACCCGTACTTCAATCAGGTTTTCGTAAGGGATATAGTTGTGCTACTGCAGTGTACAACGTACTCGATGATATCATTACGGAAACTGATTGTGGAAACATATCAGTATTGGTACTCCTTGACTACTCAAAAGTGTTTGACTTGCTTAGTCATGAAGTGCTTAAGGCTATACTGAGGTTTGTGGGACTGGGCGATGGGGCTGTGGCCCTTATACAAAACTATCTCGTTGGTAGATGCCAGAAAGTGATTTTAAATCACGTGCATTCTGATCTTGTGCCTGTTACAAGGGGTGTTCCTCAGGGATCTATCCTTGGACCCTTGTTATACACTCTTTACACCTTTAACTTGTTGTCTGGTTTAAACGATTGTAAGTATCATCTCTATGCTGATGATGTACAGCTATATCATTCGTTTCCTTTTAGTGAATTGAATTCCTCTGTGGCAAAGATCAACGAAGATCTTGCAAGGGTAGCCAAGGCATCGGATAATCACTCTTTGAAAATAAATGCAACTAAATCTTGCTTCATCGTGTTTTGTAGCGATAAACTTCAAAAGCACATTCAAGGCAAAATAATCTTGCAAATTGGTAACCAACCTGTCCCAATAGCCGATTGTGTAAAAAATTTGGGCATTTCTATTGATTGTAAATTAAGGTTTACTAAGTACATTGACAACCTTATTGCTTCGGCTTATTATCAGTTAAGATGCTTGTATTCTAGTCGTCACATTCTTGGCATCAAGCAGAAGGCTGTTCTTTGTGATGCACTGGTTCTATCACGGTTCAATTATTGTGACGTGGTATATGGACCGTGCTTATTACTCAAAGACTGTGATAGAATCCAGCGTGTCCAAAATTCATGCTTGCGCTTCATATTTGGAATTAGGAAGTTCGAACGGATTTCACATACCTTACCAATGCTAGGCTGGCTCAATATGATGGAAAGAAGGCTAGTTCACTCTTCTTTATTTTTTCATAAAATATTAAACAGTAAAATTCCCCCGTATCTCTACCGCAAAATTACCTTTCGTACAGACGTGCACCACTTAAATTTGAGGCACAGGGGACTTCTATCTGTTCCTATGTTTAAATTATCATTATTCAAACGATCTTTCTTATTCAACATCTGTAAATTTTGCACCAACCCTAAAAATACAAAATTACTGTATCTGCCTGCTGCAGTCTTCAAAAGAAACATCAAACATCGAATCATTAGAGAGCGAATGTTAATGCGAACGTAATTGAAACCACTACGATGTTTCCGTTGCATCTCCAAACGATAAGCTGCCTGTCAATAATTTGTTTACTTTACAAATAACTTTAACTAATGCAGAATAACTTTATTTATTTGTATTTACACAAGGGGGTTTCAAGGGGAAGAACAGGTGACCATATCAACGGGTTTACCTGACCTTGTGCCCATTGGTTATGGTGTAGGAACCATTATTTAACCAATAAAAACCATTATTATTATTATTA